AAAGTAAAGAAACACCTGGAGGAAACATGTGAATCAGAAAAGAAGGCTCATATTCGAAACCAAGAATATTTAAAGCTGTTTGAGCGCATCCAAGCTGAGATTGAATGAGACGTGACCAGAAACAGATACGTTTCAAGAACTGAAGATGGCATGTTATTTTGTTGTAATGCAGGCAGGAAATAACTTGGCCGGAACAGCATCCAGAGGATTGTATCCAGCAGCAACAACCACAAAGAACTTTTCAATTCCTGACGCACATTCACACCGACGGGCAGCCCTGAGCAGTAAACTGGCATGCAGCTGTGTGGATGAAATCAGGAGGGACGTACGGTGCTTAAACACCTCTGACAAAACAGATGGAGAGACATCTTCTCATACTGGTGAGGGAACGCAAGTCACAGCCAGTTTATTGTCCGAGGAAGAACCAACTCGAATAAGTCTAGAGGACAGACCTACTAAGGTTTTAAAAAATCTTATTATTTTTTCTTTTTTATTTAATTCTGTATTATTTTTTTCACTTTTATATAAATCAATCGATCATCCATGAAAAAACAAAAACAAAAACAAAAACAAAATTACAGAGTATCTTACAGAAATGGAGGCAGAAGAAGTCACGCAGATTAGAAGCAGTGATTGTGTTTCTACCCGTCTCATGATAGAAAAAAGCCATGGATCGAGAGTCCTGCAGCTGTCTGTGGTGCTGAATCTCCTCATATACACACAGTACTGTCAATTGACTAAAACCAGAGTTCCCTGCTCTGTATAAATGCTGGTGATGGGTGACTTGCACTATTGCTGGGGGTCAGGGCGATAGCTGGCCGGAGTTCAGGCATCACACGGAGGCTAACATCGTACCACAGCCGGCTACAGTCCCACAAGTCATACTTTCCAAAGCTGATGCCCCTTCTTAGGGTTAAAAAAAAAAAACCCAAGGGTATTTAAAACAAACAGCAAAACCCAGAAGCTTCTGACCCTCTCACACTGGATTACTGTCCAACCCACCATGAAAAAAATATTTCACTTGGTCGTAACAACAAGAGAATATCTGACTCCATTGTATCACATGTATGTTAATGACCAAGTTTTTTATAAAGAATTTTTCTTAGCAGAGATGAGGTTGAGGACAAGATTTGTTCCCTCCAAGGGCAAGGAAAAACTGCTTAAATCCATTCTCAATTTTGAACTGTAGAGAAGGACCTGACTTGAATGAGATTTTCTCAAGACACTTCTTTATTCCTCAACCCTAGATACAATTAGAATGCAAGGAATCCTGTCCAGAATTTTATTGAATTTTATCTGCTGATTGTTAACATGACAATTGGCCTTCGGCCACTATTTATTTCTACTAGGACACCTTACACTATTTTAAAGTTCCAGATGCTGCAGATGAAAGTAAATATAACAAAATAATAAAACCATTTGTGTGCTGAGTTGCTGGATTCTGGATAAGCATAGATGGGATGTTCCTGGTTATTCACCAAGATGTGTCTAACTAATGGCTACTCCTCTGTGTCCATAGCCCACATTTAAATCATGTGTACTGGAATGGATTTAAAAAACTGTAATCCATGTGAAAATGTCTATACTATAAAGCGATCTACAGATTCAATGACATTCCTTACAGAAATGGAAAAAACAATCTTACCTTTCATATGGAACAACAAAAGACCCCGAATAGCCAAAGCAATCCTGACCAAAAAAACAAAGCCAGAGGCATAACTCTGCCTGACTTCAAATTATACGACAAAGCTGTTGTAACCAAAACAGCATGGTACTGCTATAAAAATAGACATTCAGACCAATGGAGTAGAATAGAGAACCCAGAAATCCCTCCTCAGGCTTATAGCCATCTGATACTAGACAAAGGCAACAGAAATCTACATTGGGGAAAAGACTGCCTCTTCAACGAGTGGTGCTGGGAAAACTGGATATCCATGAAGGAAACTAGATATGCATCTCTCACCATACACTAAAATCAACTAAAATGGATTAAAGACCCAGGTATAAGACCGGAAACTGTAAAATTACTAAGGGAAAACATAGGTGAAACACTTCAGCAGTTAGGTCTGGGCACAGGCTTTATGAACATGAGCCTGAAAGCACAAGCAGC